ACTTAGAGTAGACATAAAAAATTTCAAACTCTGCCGGTAAATGTATTAGGGGGAGAGTAGGGCAAAACAATATATTTTTAAATGTCGGTAGAAAATAAATGTTATAACAGTTAATTTATTTCACAGATCATAATGCTCTTATCAGGTATACTCATCTAGATAAATTGAATACAAAATTAATGGGAAATAAAGTGATATTAATCAATAATTACATATTAATTATTCAGGTATTCAATTTAAAGGTTGCTCCGCTTTACCCTAGATAGGCGGGATCTTGAATCGCGGGACGTGTTGCCGATATGTAAAAATATTCCCTAAACGAATAATTGCTAAATTGAATGAAATTAATTTATTCAGATATTTACGTTTAAAATATTAAGTTATGTTCTGAAAATATAAGAATATGCTGAATTTGCATACATTTATTTAAAGAATAATTGCATTATTCACTTCATTCTTGAAATGTATGTTGTTCATTTTTAGTACAATACCAACTCGCCGAAACATTTGGCAACACAGCTGGGCTGGCAACAAAACAGATTCTGAACATCTCTCTAAGACGTATGTTGTTCTCAAATCCCTAATGTGAGACAGAGACAATCAACAATTAGACACGGTGCACTTATTACTTTAAATTTCTGATAGTTCAGTTTGCGCGGTACAGGACAGGAGTTGGTGCTGCAATGCTGTCATTCTTATTTCTTAGAATAGAGTTTTGAGTAGTGATTTTTGTGTTATTACAAGTTTTTTATTGGATAACTTTTGTAATTCACTACAATTGTTTTCAATTTATAGCCATTGTGTAGTAGTGTCTGTTGTGAATTGTTTGAAGGGAAACTTAAATATTATATTCTGTAAACTTTGCCTAAATACGACCCTGTTCTGTTAGGCAGACAAGTATTTACGACCCCGTTATTGTCGTTATCGGCAATATAAAAGAAGTTTTTTATTTCTAAAATATATATGAAAAGAACTATACTACAAGTAATAATTACTCCTAAAAAAACTGATTCCCTCTTACAGTTGCACTTTTTATTTTTTGTGAGAATCAGTGCAAAAAGTACATAGTGTTTGTTATACTTTGAAACGTATTTTTAATACTAATTTGTCACGATCTCCTAACAGAAAACGTATTGTGAATTCCTATTTATCTATTCACTTGTCTTGGATGTTATCCCATTATGGAATGCCATAGCGCACCTCCGTGGGTATCACTGTGGCATGGAATTGTTAAAGGTCGAACGTTTACCAGAACAACCTTCGTAGGAGAAAAATAATTAACTCTCTGAAGTATGTTTGTATTCGTTACTAATTGATATTGTCTAGAAGTAATGTAGGTATTTTAGTGCGTTAGGGATGTAATAATAAGAGACGTGTTCTGGGCTATTATGGTTCTATTATTATTAGCATCCGTAACGTTTATACTTATAAAGTTGTACTAAATATAATAAAAATAAATATTCAATGTTATTAAAAAAGTCGGTTCTATAGTAGGATCATATTCGATGCAAAGTAATAAATCATTGTCTGTCAAGGGAACCAATGAAGTACGCTTTTAAGGGTTTTAGAAATTGAATTATTTCTTTATACATTATGAAGGGACGAGGGGATCAATTCAGGTCTGGCACCCTTGTTCCTACAAAAATTCCTTTATTCTCATAAACTATTTATTTTAAATGTAATTTATTATAAATCCAATTTGTTTCCTAAATTCCACATATGTACTACATTTTACCTCTGTACGCGCCACTGTTGTTTACTTGTTTTTTCGAAGCGCTCTCTAATTGACGGCAAAGCTCGCCAGGTTAGTATTTGACGTATAACCGACCAGTTCGTACACTCGATGCACCTGGGCGACTACAGCTACTACCAGAACACAGTGCGTATGCAGCGGTATTTCAGATTTTACATTGAATTTCATTTTAAATTTGAAATGATTTATCTTACGCCTCCTAAAAATCCTAAAAAGACCGACAACTTTTTGCCCTACTTTGCATCGAATACGATCCTACTTATAGGTTTGCTAGGTATGTCTAGACTGAGAAAAAAAATTGATCAGTTATCCTTAACTGTGTCAAATGTAGGTATTTTGCTTGGATATTATGTTAATGAATTGATTAATATAGTTTGATTACTTGATACAGTGAATTGATATAGTTTTGAAATTTTGTCAACAACTCCTAAGAATGTAATAGGACTTTACAAAAAGATGAAGACAATTTTGCACTAACTAAACGTAGTACATACCAAACTAATATATTCATAGATAGATACCTATGTGCAAACTACACACCTTACATGACTCAATTTGCATTCATTTATACATACAGTTCTTATACAACATATTTATTTTTATAAGTATAAAAACCCCTCCCGTTTATTACAAGCACGTGCGAAGTTTGTAGTGACAAATCGTTCAAATATTTAATTACATTTAAAAATGTAGTAATATAGTTGCTCTTTGAATGTTAACCCTACACATATTATACTACTAGGATACTTATGTAAATAAATGTACCTATTTATAACATCGTTGTTTATTTCAATATGAAAAAGTTAGTGCAAGTAAACCTAAGTCAATAAAGATAAAATGAGAAAAAGGACATGAAGGTTGTATAGTAAAAATAAAGTACATTTCATTTAAAAAAGAAATCATTTTAGACATAGAATATTGGTGGAATTATATAAGAAAATATTAAATGTTTTTATTTACTTTATTGAAGAAAATAGTTATTTAACAATAATTTAATTAATAATTAAGAAAATAGGCACCGTGGTTCTTACTAGGATCCTGAGTTTAGCGACATGCACAATCATGTTGTATTCACTGTTTTCATTCATGGTGACCACGTAATAGCCTAAATAATGCCAGTTATTGCAATTAAATTTGCAAAGTAAAAGCTGTTATATAAATATTGCAATGGAAACATCTACCACTCCAAAATTTCTTTCGAACAATGTAATCTCATTGATCGTGAACGGTTGCGTCTTGTTTCGCATAGAAAAGTAACTTTTTAATAATGAGGTGACTTGCATATTGCGAATAAACCAGTGCCAAATGGAAATTTTATTGTAATGATTTCTGATTTGTTTAATATTTACTGTTATCGACACAGAAAAATATGTATTATAAACGTAGATATACAAAAATAAATAATTCATAAACCACCTTCAGCTTTTTTCCCTTCAGCACTTAAATATGAAGAATAAGTATTGTCGTATTATAGCTAGCAGAAATAGAGACGTTACAATGAAAGTATTTTACTTAAAGCGAATGGAAAATGCTTTACATCTCAAGATTTTGTACTGTACATTTTTTAGGCTCACAGACAAAAATATGTTTTTTCAGATAGATCAACAATTTAATTAAACAATCGCACATAATTTTTCGTGTTATTTCGGTAACGGTTTCCCCGTCTTCCGAATTCTTCGCATACTTTAAAATAACACAGGAAGGTTAATAATATTAATAAATAAATTATTTTTATTAAGAGCAAATTAGTTTCCGTTACCTAAATTATTTATCATTTTCTAAATCTGGTTGTGTGTCGCAACCAATTAGTATGCTATGGCCTTAGGATGTCTAATTAATGTATTTTAACATAAAATAACAAGTATGTACTATACATGTACAGAAAAGAAACGTGATTTAATAATTCTCTTTAAAATACACGACCATGAAATGGATTAGGTTTAACAAATAGATAGTTTGAGTTAGTTTGTATGCAAACGGTACTATCATTTTTTTTAATACCTTCCTATTTAACTAAAAAATCATATTGTTATTCAAATTTCCTTTGATTTTACTTTATATACTAGTACCAACGTTTGGAAAATAAATAACACATACATACATATTATTTGGATGATTTTAATGTTATATTTGCTATAAGGCACGTTTCTTAAATTAACAAATCACTGTGCCAATACTAGCAAGCCGATTGAAAAGTGTGACATACATAAAGTGATTTTATTTTTACCGGCACTAGTAAGTATTAACATTAGAGTGTTAATTGAGACCGACATCAACTGCAGCGGCAGTGGCGGCTCTCGACTTTTTTCCAAGTATGAGCACGCGATAAGAAATATGAAATGTACCTAATTACCTAAATAAAGCAAAAAATAAATAAACACCTAGATTTTTAGATGTCAGTTTGTCCTTGTGACCTATTATTATATTATTTGGACATCAGGAGTATAGGTACCTTTTTTACTTTGCTTAAAAGGCATGGGATTATTTTTTAATACACAATATCTGAATTTATTTCCGCATTGATTTTTTTTACTTGTTACTCACATAGAGAGAAGTATGATTGTACTTAAAGCAAACAAATCTTGAAAAGACACAATGCACTAAATACTTCCACTCGCTTTATTAAAATCAATATAGATCAAAATAACCTCTCTTACTACTTACCTACTTCTTCGTACAAGTTCGACATCATAATATATGTAATAAGAAAGGGTAGACGGAATAAATAATATTGGTGTTCCCTCAACTTCATTTCATGTAACATGTCGATACCTACTTCAAAATATTAATTCAATTCCAAATAATTATCACAAGAATAAAGGTTGTTATTTATTCTTGTGTAAGTATCTTGCCAAATAGAAATTCATGGTTGATATTATACTTATTAACTTTGAAAAAGATAGTTTATATGTTAAGTTTTCAAGGTTAAAAGAGAAAAAGACAGGAGTTATTCGCATTTTAGTCAAATAAATGCATCCGGATAATAATGGACGACCCGTGTAATTTTCCAAAAGCGAACATCGACATTTGTGTACTCATCCGATGGTCTACTTCGATCTATTCAGCTTTCATTGAAACCATTGCCGATATCCATACAATTTAATTGATGTCACGATTGCCTTCTTACACATAATGATGACTATCGATATTTACCTTGCCGCTCCGTCCTTGACATTTTTAATAGTAATGGACTTTAGCTGTTTTTTTTTTTTGTAAAGAAACATCTTTAAACTAATTATTTTTTCAGAGCGAACTTCACTCAACTTGAACTAATCTTACTCCAGGCAGTAATTACAATTGTATATTAAATGTGAATTATACAATTTGAGAGAGAGAGAAGGGGATCTAGTAACTGATGTGATTGACTTGCTTTACTAACTTCCTCTTCTTTAAGGTATATGTTATATCCCAATTTCGTTCATTTCTTGTCTTAATTTTAACTATTTTATAAATATTGAGATGAAAGATCACTAAGAAGAAACATTTAATCGTGATAATAATGCATGTTTACAGTTTACTTTCTGTTCCAGGTATTCAGTGAACAACTAAAGAAGAGAAGCTTCTCGAGTTATACTCCATATTTAAGATGTAAGTTATTTTGTAAATACATATAACTTTCTTCGCAATAATCTCCCGTTTCTCTTTCCTAACTCGTCCGAAAATATTTTCACATTTAAATTAAATTATTTGATTTATTCAGTTACTCATTGATTCATTTATTTGTAGTACGTAATAATTTACTGTTTTTAGCTTTATCCCATGTAAATAATATAAAATAAATTAATAATATTGTAACAATTAATAAGCTGATGCTTGTTCACAGTCGTAGTCGATATACATACAAGTACTTACCGGAGGTAGCTTACCAATTAGTTAAAAAAAAAACGTACAGGAATTCCGTTATGGTTGCGTAGTTCTAATACCACATAAAATTCTAATTTATTCAGAATAAATGAACGACACATTCAACGCAGTCAGTATTATTACAGGTAGGTATATTGATATTTTAAAATATCGGCCTCCCAGCAACGATTTTATCACTAAATGATCTGCAGATGGCCGAAGGAAATGGTAATTACTATTAATCATGTTATTTTGATATCCACATTATTTCTGTGAACGTAGCAGTAAGGAGTGGAAAAGAGATTACATTTACTTACGCCTATTTATTTTATTTTTAATCGCGCTCTGAAGACGTAATGCTTTCTATTTACGCAGTAATACGTGTATATTAATTTAAGACACAAAATTTCCTCATTATTACATTTTAAAAGTTTTTAATAATGTTGCAGATCAGCCAGATGCTAATAATAATAACTGCGAACATGGTCTACCGTTCGTTATTATCATTAACCAAAGAATCTATTAATGATTCTTTATAAGAAGGAACATGCAATTTAACAAAGCAAGTCTCGTTTATATGTAGAACGGACTTAGTTTTTTATATTTTTATGAACTAAAAAGGCGCCTGTTCTAGTATTTGACGCCCCGTCGAGTCGTCGCCAGTACCTGTGAACGTGTTCTTTGACCGTAAACCGTCTTGAATTAGTGTTATGTTTGCCTAATAATGTAAGGCGTGAACAACCCAAAGTTTCGCTTTTCAGTCGTCAAAAGCAGTACCTAATAATAATAATAATAATAATACCTAATAATAAGTCGAGAGTGATATGACTGTTTCAATGCGCATATTATGTAACGTTGAGCAATAAAATGAGAAAATGTAGCAATAAGTGTAGTCCATTAGCTGACGCTGAAAAAAATAAGTCAAATATTTTACAGTTTATTAACATTGATTACGTAGATACTTAAAAGCTAATAAAGTGTAGTTGCTAGAACATACATTATCATCCCGCATTTGAAGTAATAATAACTGATATTTTCTATATCCTCCATATAACCGAAATATGACTGTAGCAGAAAAGAAGTAGATAACCCCTCTGGAATTCAATCGCCACCCTAATGATCGCCGTGGGCGCTCCGGTCTCTGGATTGCGTCTCTTTTCAGCTCTGGCTGCATATTTCGGTTTGGGCAAACCAAGCTTCCATGCTCCCTGTTCTCGAGTTAGTTTTCGTCCTGAATGCCATCGTGTCAGTCGATTCAGCAAAACGAGGATGTGTTATTGAACTCGCGCAAGCTTTCGACGTCAACTGTGCGTTTATCCTGCGGTCTGTGTATGTACGAGGATTACTTATACTGTTTAGGATAAGGATCTCTATATATTTAGGTAATGAACTTCGATCAAGGTTCTTGTATATGTTTTGTGATTATATTGTAGTGGATATCGTTGGTTTATTTTGGTGACTCCATATGTTTTTACTTAACTTTGTACTTGATGTTCTGTATGCACTATGATATACTTATGATTACTTAACATCTCACTTCCGTAACAGATGTAAATACAAGGAGAAGAGGGTGAAGTAAAATAAACCTTTTATTGGGATACTTTTCTGGATCTATATACTTATTATGGACCTAGTATTATTAATAGTTGCAATATCCAGTCGTTAAATCGTGAAAGGATTTTCATCTGTATGAGTTTTTACTCTCTACATGTTTTCGATGATAAAAAATTTAGGTATGCATTTTCATTCTGTAGTAAAATATCTTCTCGTATATAAGTACCTAATATGAGCAGGTGGGCAGTGCTACAAATAATCAGGTTTCTCCTTTTCTTCATCTTATTGCATAAAATAAACGGACTCTGAAATTTTACATTAAATCTTCTCTTTCATTGATTGGATCTGCTATTGTGTGTTATATTACCTTTTGTGGCAAATCCTATTATCACTGAAATGCGTTACGTATAGGCGTAATCGATCTGTTCTGTGTGAATTACCTAGTCAGACTTTTTTATAATTTCTGCATCTGGTGCTAACATGTTGGTTATATTTTATTTCACAATCCGATTCACATGGACGTAGTCGATAAGACTACTTAGCCACTTAATATTCAGTAGATATAATATTCAAAGAAATGTGTAGGTATACCTACTTCATTTCAAATAAATACAAAGTTTTATCGAAAATTACTTAATCATTTCATAATTTTCAGTCGATTCTTTGTTTAAAAAACAAACTGTATATTTTTCAATTTTATGTAACGACACGCGAGGAAATATATTTATTGCCATTTAAAGTAAAGTAGGCTGCTGTCAAAGTTTGTAACAGATTTGTTTCAGTAAACTGATAATAATTTGTTTTTTATTACGCAGGCGCGCTTGTAGACTATTTGCTAACTGTTGCGGATTTTGGGATTTTGGACAGCAAGAATGGTTGTTTCGAGTTTGACATTTTACACAGAAATTTAAAATAAGGGTAACAAACTGATAACAAAGATGAAATAAAGATCTGTTAATCTAAAATATGTCACTGACTAGTTGGACTAGAATTTTTTTTATGATTACAGCTTTAGAGAGTGGTTATTGATTTTAATTTACGATCCTAATTATTAATATTTTTTTACTTAATTTTGCGCTGTCATTTTCAAATGCGTGTCTTACTAGACTTAATTAGAAATAATTAAAAAAAAAAAACAGAATCGTACCTAACTGATACTGCAAATTACACCAAAAATCTTAAGAAATATGTGTATTCAAAATTAAATTGGCAGTCTGCAGATAAATCTCCAACCAGTACAATCGTCAGTAAACGGTTTGATGACAGTTTTAAAATCCTGCACGAGCACCTAGTTAGAGTTTGAAATTAATTTTGCAGCACCGGTAATTTTATAATGCACGCGCTCCAAACAATTGGGAACCGTTGAAGAAGTAATTGATAAAATTGCCGTACATATCACACTGTTGCACAAAGATGTATAAATAAATAAATTCACATAATAGCAAAAATACGATCCATAGATGATTATAAACAAACATATTCAACTGTCCATAAGTTATTATTATTTATTCGACAGTAGCGGCTGCTTTACTTAGATTGTGTCCATATACTTTTGCATGTAAGAATACAAAAACGTGTACAAAACATTATTTTATTTATTTGAAACACTTCATATTATTAGATATCATTACCAAAGCTGTAGAGTTTGGAATATTATTTTTCAACAAATAATAATAATAAAACTAAAGTAGCACCTAAATAGATAAACATTTTTTATTATTTCCTCGTTGCCAAAAATAAAATTAAAAAATCAGGAAATGTAATTAAATTAAATATCTAATTCAGGTCTGGAATCTGTAAATCTTAACCGTAGAACATATTACTTTATTTGTGAACACTAATTTGTTACATTTTAATACCTTTTAAATTTAAATTGGAAACATTTTATTGTCCACAGCTGTACATTATGTAGGTACTTTCTATCACTTCATATTTCATTCATTTTGTGATATTTGAGCCAAGATCATTGCCCTTCAAATCAAGACAAGCTGTCCAAGGTCTCAGCACTTATTCATTCAACAATTACAAAATTGTATCGCTGTCAGTCGGTAGGTACATACATGGGAATGGATTTTTGCGATCAGTAGACCGAAATTAAAATGTCATGTGATCTCACAAAGTACATATACATTACGGTTTCAGTTTAATATTACGGTAATCGCTGGAGGGAGGCATATCACTAGTGAGAAGGAATTGTATTCATTGATCAAGTCAAGTAGTGAATTTTGTAAAAAAGTTGCTTCAATTTGAGTCGAGTAGGTTCTAAAAATGTCCAGCTAAGTAGTTTGACCTTTTGATGAATTACTTATTTGACATTATGAAATAATTAATTAAGCTTACAAATAATATCTACTTTGTTAAAAATTGTTACACTATTAAATTAAATAAGTAGATGTGCAGATATCAAATTATGAATAGATTCTCAAATGATTTGTGAAACCATCGCTATATCTCAATACGAAACCTCAGTTGTCTCAGTAACTATTAAATGTGACGAATCATATTGATGAGTTCTTCGGGATTACCTAACAGTGTGCAAAAACTAAATACAGTTGTTAAACAGCCACCGTTGACCTTGTTGCAATTGGGAGTAATTTGTTTACGTACTGATGCGTTAAGAAAGTCACAGTAAACAGATATTTTTCGTTCTTTTGGAACAGCAATTCATATAAAGAATATATTGATTGACTATTACATATGCAAAAACTAAATTTTTTTATAATTTTGTATATATAAATTAATAACGATAAAATGCATCGATATTCATCTTTTAATTTAATGTACTTTTATGAATGAAATTATTTTAGAAATACATATGTTTTAATACTAACATATACAGGGTCGCTGATATGTATGGAAACGGTCGATTATCTCCTCAAGTAAGATAGCTATCGAAAAATCATAATACACAAACGTTTTAGGTTTTTTTTAATCTATTACAATAAAGAAAAATGAATTATACAAGATGTCAAAAAGTCATGACGAAACAAAGTTGCTTTTTCTTTATTGGAACACCCTCTATTTATTATTGTAATAAATAAAAATTAAGCATACAGGAACAGTTAAAAAGTCATGGCGTAACAAAGTTGCTTTTTCTATAATGGAACACCCTGTATATTATTCCATATTACAAATCTTCTCCAAATTCCAAACAAAATTCATATAGCAAATCATGAACCTAAACTTAATCG